TGTTGCAGAGACGACTTAGTGGTATCGTAGCCTCCCATAAGCAAACCAGGAGCTTGAGATGCTTGCATCCACCTTACGCAACAAGGCCAAAAAAGATAGAGGTCAATATATAGTCCCATTCCAGTTGAAAGTGGAATGAGGTTCTAAGTTTTAGTTTCTGGAAGCATTTATTCATCCCACTCCAGTGATGCGGTAGAAAGTGGGGTTTTGGGGTGTTTTTATCAATAACCCTCTTGGGAGTTGCTTTTTAGGAAATGATGTTTCCTACCTGGATGCAGTGATATGCAAGTTTTAAGTCTGTGGCTTTGTACCGATAGAAAACAATATAATGTCTTCTCTCCCTGTGTGCACTTGCACCTGCGTGGATTTCTTGCCATCAGACGAGATTTCTTGTTGTGCCTGTGCATAGAGCATCCCAGCCTCTTCCTTTTGATTTGTTTCACTAATGTGAAAGTTGAGTAAGATGTAAAATACACTCCTGTGTATTTTATTTTCCTATATGTGCTGTCACCATTTTTTTCCCCTCTGTTTGGCCTCAGTTTCATCACTAAATGCACTGCCTAGTGGCATGCTGAAAGGGCTGTCTACGCTTCCTGCCACTTGCCCATGGGGATCAGGCTCAGGTGAGCTCGGTCCATACTGTCTGGCACTAGCAGGGAACATTGCTCCAGACAGCATCTCTTTTGTCTTACGGACTTGTTGCTTTATAAAATAGGAGACTTAATTACTACTTTTTTTTCAGGTCAGGTCAAAAATTATCCTCTATGGATTTGGGTGGAGACAAGGGAAGTTGGCTTGTCCCTCTTCCCCCTCCCTTGTGAGAAGCATGTACTTTTACAGTATGCTTACGTAAGGAACTCTTGCACACGGTTTAGGAGGCTCTTTCTGGTTCATCACAGAGCTACCACAAGTAGATTTTTACATTCGTTATATCTGGTGTTTCTACATTTGATTTTGTCCCACCTCTTGCTAATGTGCAAAAGGAAAGCATGCTTAGGTGGGAAAATTGCCTGTCATTTATAGTTCCTAATGTCAGAGTAGTGGATGGGTAAATGAGAAGAGTGCAACTTCCATATTACACTCACAAAAACACAACACCAAGAGGAAACCCTTGATGTTGCCTCTAGCTTCTCTTCGATACCTCTGGGAGGGGTATCTAAGTACCTAGTAGGGAGGAACTAAAGAGACATCACTATGGCCGTCTTACCTTCTCCCCATATTCATACATACCACCCATGGCTTCTCTCCTCTTCGAGTGTGAGAGGAGCAGAAGTAGGTGTGAGCAGTGCTGTGTTCCAGCACACTTCCTTGGAGCTCTCAGTAGTGCTTCACAACACTCAACAGAGCACGGACTGTCATTCGTGCTTACTTACTTTTCTCCTCCCATGCTGCAAGGCTTAGTCCATTAGGGGTAGTTTAGAAGACTGTCACACTGCTGGAGATGAGAATATGTTTGGCAGGGGTTTTGTGGATCATAATTATCTAAAAATCCAATCAAGCTATTTTCTTGATTGATTTTGGGATGGGATATACAGGCTTCAGTGGAGTTAATTGCACCTCGGTATTTTTTAATTTATATTTTAGGCATCTGACAGCCCCACCACTCCTACTTCTTAGGGTACATTTATTTTTTTCCTCTTACAAATGAGCGTACAAAAACCTGCTATATGCTCTGACTATTGATTTCTTTTTTTTCATTTTATATATGTTTTACGGTGATATTAGTACTGTAATACCCACATGGCTGAAACGCATTGTCTCAAAAATGCTGTTGGTCAAGCAAGTACTTTCTTCAAAACTGTAGGAGGTACATAAATATGAAATGACACTGATCATGAATTGCTGATGATTTCTTGAGGAATTTTCATGGGATGAACTCCACATGTAAGGTTGAGGAAAGTACTTTAAATAGCAGTGAAAACAGAAACTGCGACCTAAATTACAAAAGCAGAACGGTAGCTTTGTGATGGTGTTATCATCGTAATCCTAAGCTTGCTGTCACCAAATACACTGGATGCTGAGCAAACCTGGATGACAAAATGTTACTCAGAAAAAGGCCCCAACCATCCCTGTTTTGATAGCATCATGTCACATGCGCCAGGATTGAGCCAACAAAAGCCCTTTCAAGTCAGGATCTCTCACTACGTTTTCTGCTGTGGTGGATTAGCAAGCGATGAAGAGGATTTCTGAGAGATTGATTTATTTTTATTCTGGTTGTCTCTTTCCTGTATCAGTTCTGTATCCATTGCACAAACTGATATGTAGGCAAAATAAGACTGAAAATTGATACAGAGGAAAGGAACCAAGCTAACGGCAAAAATGCCAAAAAAGTCAGCTTTGAATTGCATCAGCTTCTTACCCTCTGAAGGCTGTTTAAAAACTATCTGGTTTACCATCTATTTTCTGCTACTCTGTTTATTCTCACCAAGGTTTCTCTTTCCTCTGTCACTTGGAATATCTTATAATGTAGGAAAAATATTTGCTTTAGTAGAAATTTTAGTTTCTTTTCCAGTTGTCTTGTCTTTTAAAACTATAATTTACTAGGCATGCTATTTGAGAGCCACTTGTATCAAGTTCCTTTCTTGTTCCTGCTTCAAAAAGAAAAGAGAAATATTAATGTTACTGTCCTTTCAGACACAAGAACCTTTGACAGGAGAACCTTCTTCAGAGAATGTGGACTCTGCTGGATTCTGCTATCTTCCTCTTCTAATCTAGGTGTTTATTCTTATTTTATAGAAGTTGAAGAATTGCCACAATCACAATTTCATAAACTCTGTGTTCCAGGCTATGAAGGAAAAGTGAAACTGTTTACGTGGATTTTCATTCCAAGTTCCTATAAGAAAAAGCGCTGACTGGGGTTTTCATTCATTTGCAGTTACACAGCTCCGACCAAGATCAGAAAACTTGTGCGTTACTAGTAGCTGGAGGTCCTAAAGGAGTAGTAATAGAAGAGCAGCAGTAATAAGGGGTGAGTGATGTAAAAAATGCAAAACTGCTATCCTGCAATTTCAAGAACTAATGTGGAGTTATAATTCAAATAACAAGCAGTTGCAAAACCAAACAACAATGCTACTGCCTAGTAAAATGCCCACGCTCCTGAAGTAATTTTTGTACTTAGAGGATTGTTTCATTGCAAGAGGATTTAGTTTGCAGACAAGACTTAGGTTCTGTGTTTGTATGGCAAGAGATGCATCAATTTTAAGGAGTAATTTTAAAAACCACTAGAAATAGACATGCTTGCTATCTGTGTAATCACTGATCCATGGCCAGCTGGGGTTTTTAGGGAAGAAAAAAAAAAAGAGAACAATTGTTGCAGTTGATAACTCCTAAGGCAATAATGAAGTAAAAAATATGAGATTATGTTGGATTGCCCTTAAAACTCGTGGCTCATTCAGTATTTAGAACTGCTGCCAAGTGAGTCTGCTGTTTAATTGCAGCCTTCGTGCTGGAGTTAGAGCAACGCTGCAGCCCCTCAGACAACATTCTACTGTTAAATGTACCAACACACTACAAGAATGTACCCAACAGCGTGTTTCTTCGGAACTTTCCTTCCCCCCACCCTGCTGCCTGCCCACTGCTCACTGAATAAGGAATGTATCACAGCAAGGAAGAGGAGCAGTACCACTATTAGCCCAAAATTAACTTGTCCAACCTTACTCATTCTCCACATCATTGATTAAGGGCTTAGTGTCCTCCTTCAACAACAAACTCTTCTACCATTTAGGTTTGAGGAGGATTGATTCTGTGATTTCTGGTGAAGTTCTGCAAATTGGGGAGGTACTAACCACTGTCTAAGTGTGTTCAAATAAATACTCCTCGTGCCCAGATTCACTCGTTACTTCTGCCATGAGATGTACTTCTATCTCTGAGTTAAACTACCTGCTTCTACTATCAACGTGATGATAGTTGAGTTCTAGCTGGCCACTATTAATTTAATTACCCAAATGTTTAAGGTCCAGTTCCAAAACTTCAGTATATTTTGTGCTGCTAAGAGAGGCCCTTTGATGATCACTCAGGCACAGCAGCACATTAAAAGCTGCCACTAAAGCCAACAGTCTTTGCATGTAACTTTGCAAGTATTTTTAATGACAGGTTTGTTTGGTGGGTTTTTTTTTTTTTTTACAAGCATTTACTTTTTATTACTTTCACCAAAATAAAGCATACAGCATACAGTGTTTTCACACATTTAGGAGATACATAAATGTATCTTCAATTCTTTAATGCATCGATAGCTTATGTAACACAAAGGTATTTCTTCACCGGTGTTCATTTTAAATACAGCCGAGTTGCCCTTGTTTTTAAACAAACTTTTATCTTGTTACCATACATTTCCCTTGTTAATTTATAGATGTTTAAAAAACAATCGGGAAACTCGGGTGAAATTTATTGCTAGAGATAAGAAGTTGCTACATTAGGATGACACCTGTATATGAAGTTATGAACAGGTAACTTGAAAAAAATACCCAACAACTAAATGTATGCTGTCAATTGAACTGATACAGAAAAAGTTTTAAAGAATAACAACTATTTAACCTTCACTTCCAATCTATGTGTAGAATAATTGTTAAAAATCTAACTTTTTTATTTCCACACTGATTGGTATGCAAGTTAATTATGGTATTTTTTGAATTTCATTTAGAATTTACAATGCTGCTTTGTAATTATAAATAAATAGATGCATGGAGACAAAATCTCATACTGCGTTTCTCTTAAAGTTACCAACTACCTTAAGTGCATAATTTAAGAGCATAAATACAATCCCGTTCAACCCAGTCGCGTATCGTAGGACTAACGTCATGTGCTCAGTCTCATGCTGCATAGTTGAGAAAAGAAAAAATAAGGTGGCACTTAGTATCTTTAACGGCACTTCTTTCAGCAAAGGATAGTCTGCGCTTGTAATACTAGCCCGGGTTGCTCTCCAAACCAGTATTTGAACATACGCGTGAAAACCACACAGAACACCAAATAAAGCAACGAGCGCCGGTGCTGTGTTTCCAGCTCTAGCTAATGGTGCAAGGATCGTCGTTGCTCGCTTTCACTTCCCCTTCCAGCAGCAAAGTGATGACGGCCTTGCTCAGGTAGCTGCATGTTCCCTTTTTTCCGATGGGGTGAGTGTTGTAGAACGCGGTCATGCCGTCCTGCAGGAGAGGAGGAGGTTTCCGTTGGTGGTGATCGTGCAAAGCAGCCAAACACCAGGAACACCACAAGTACGTTAGAAATGCAAACTCTGAAGCGAGAGCATAATTCTGCTCAGTTGTCAAAATCTCCCCCGTATGCTTACCTGAACACAACACATGACTAAAGCACATTGTATGTGTTTTTTTACTGAAGTTTCCAGCCCTGTAGCGATACCAACTACTTCCCATTTTTTTTTTAATGGAGCAGGTGTCAGACAGCTCTCTTAGAACAGGATCGCTGTGTGGGAACTTGCCATGCTAGCACGGTACGGCTGTGAGCCAAGCCCTTCGGTGTGTACATGCAGAGATACTGACAAGATTGATTTGAAGGAAAAAAAAATGTTTTTTACATCCAAGAAGTAAACCACAGGTAGCACATGAACTAATTCATCAATCAGATCAACCAAACAGGTTTCCTTCACTGAACACCTGCTTTGCACAGTTAATGATGTTAAAACATTTGCTTAATGAACTATATATTGGTTGCTACAGTAAAGGTTCAGCTCTTTAATACGGGAAACTGGTCACTTTTATTAAATCAAGGGCAGTGTGTTTTGAAACTACTGAATACTTCAGACATTTGTTACACCTGAACAGGGAATTACCAAAGTTCAAAATACTTGCAAGTCAGTTTAATGGAAGAACACAATTCAGACAAACTGGGAGTTCTTTTAGCAGCGTTTGTTAGGAAAACTTGAGACAGAATATCATCAGAACAATCCTAAACAGGCTACAATTGACTGCCCTCAGGCATATACCTGGGAATATGGGAGAGTCAGGTCCCCAAAAATTTTAATGTACGGAGTCGAAATTCCCAGTGACAATTATCCTAAAGATATTATTCACAACTATAAATTGTGATTTCTTTCTAAGAGACAAAAAGGCAGCATTCTAAGTAGATCGTGGTTGGGAAAAATATCCATCTCTTCAATGGAGGCTAGGGCAGCACCAGTACAACTTGGGTTTTAGGTGAGATTTTTGTTTCTGTTTCTAGTCACTGGGGATTTCCAGCCTGTCACAGTCAGCAGCATATTCAGGGCACCGTGCGGAGCTGGCACTTCGGAGCCACTGGTGAGGAGGATAAGGTGCTAAGTCTGATTTTGCTATGGCTGCACGCATAGAGCCACTGCCCTCCGAAACCGGCCAAACAAGTAATAATTTCAAGAAAATTGTGACGAAAACAGGTATTGCGTACAGTGATTTGTGGCTCGGGCTGGATATCTGGTTTGCTTTCAACTTTTCACACAGAAACGTTGTGGCAAGAAAGTGACCCTTGAAATTTTTGACAGAATTTTTAAGGAGCATATCCTTCCTCATGTTTAAAGGGCTAAATTCCCCAACAGGAAGTGCTGGTGCGTATCAGTATGTTACACGTCAGTAGCTTACTCAGAGCTAGCACGGGTATCTCAGAATACACTGTGCGCAGGAAAATGCCAGGTGGAGCCAGGAAGATCCTCCTCAGTAGCACAGGGACTTGTCCCACTGCTTTACTCCCGTTTCCTCCTTCAACCAGTTAACGAACCTGCCTTTATTACAGTATTTCAGAGCTTTGGGGCACCAAAACATGTAGCGAGAATATTTAGAGGTCTTCAAATCACCAAACCTAAAATCCTAGTGAAGTAAATCTTAAAAGCTACTTAATGACCAAGTTTCGGTTATTTGGATTTTAAGCCATAGAGATTAAAAGCTTGCTAGGTCATGAATGCAACTCTAGCACAAAAATGAGTAGCCAAGAATGGATTTGCATTTGAAGTTTTTCCATTCGTATTGTCCATTTGAGTTCTTTGGCTACTAAATGCTTCTTAGTATCTGTGTACCTAAGATCTGAAGTTTACACTTACTTGCTGAGCTTCTTTCTTGTTCTTAACTCTTCTCTGTTCTAGTGTTCCTCCCTTACTTAATGCCTTCCCCTCAATGAGTATTATAACTATTGCAGCTTTACCCAGATTTCAGAGCTATTTAACACGGTGCATGCTCTCCTTACCACACCAGCTGGAATTCACAATTGTGTGCATTTTTGCAGGTGTATGCAGCACTTGGGTGTATCAGTTTCTTATTTGTGTTCCATTCAGAACTCCGATCAATTGTTTTTCATTCTGAACCATAAAGATGTAACGTGTATCACTAACTTCAATAACAATGGTAAATACTGTACAACAGTAACATTTTACTCACTTGGTTTTCAGCTCCCTTTGGACTGCTGTGGTCTTTCTGAAAGTCATGAAATGCTTCTTGCACCACTTTATCCAAGTCCACTTTGTCCTGGAACTCCAGCTCAGGATTTCTCTCCAAGATAACGGATATGACCATCAACAACTAGAAGGCAGAAAAAGACTGTAAGACTTCAAATTTTATTTTTTTTTTTTTTAAAAAAAACCTCAGGTGACATAAAAGCACTGCTAATGATTGCATATGCCTCTTTCAAGCAGGAAGCCATTTAATAATGGCACAGGTAATAGTGCACAGATAATAGAATTCTGACTTGGATAAAAGAATCTCTCTGAAAAAGCAGGCTTTTATGAAAGATTGCAGTTTCTGGTGACTATCTACCTAGTTAAGGGCGCTGCGTAAATGATTGACATTAACATCTAACTTTGCTGGGAGCCAGGGAAGTTATTTTCCAGTTTATTCAGTTCACTGTATGGCTGCACAAATGCTGGTGCTCAGACAATGGAGAAGATGAAAAGCAGCAAACACTGAACCTCAGCATTTGGTGGTTTAGGCTTAATCACGTATGGTATAATTGTACTATAACAAAGTTGATAAAACCAAAGTCAATAGATGTCAATAAAAGGTCTTGGTTCAAGAGAATATATATCCCTTATATCTGCAAGAGGTTTATAACAGGGAGGTGAACGTGAGGAGTCACCTGTCCTAACAAATACAAGTGGGCAGTAGAGTCTCTGCTGGCCATCGTGGGTTCTGACAACTCTGTTGTCTTCTACCAAAAACTGGGGCTGTTCCAGCAAGCGACATGACCGCTGGCTCTTAGCCAGGAGTGAGATGGATTTATTTTACAGTGGAGAAGTACTCACAGGCACCAGAGGCATATACTTGGGAACTAACAGTGAACGCTGCTGACAGCACAGAAGTCAGTTCCCAGGGGTGCAGATGCTCTTGATCTGTTCAAGAAGTGTACATTACGTGCAGTGGTGGGGGAAGGGGTTTAAGCAGCCTCTTGCTTTACTGTTAGGTATGGGAACATAAGGAAACAAAGTTAGCTGATTCAGTAGCATAAAGCAACTTCCAGGACAGCCTCGTCAAAATGGGAAAGAAAAATCTATCACATGGCAGATTGATCTTTTAGAGCAGTTTTTTCCTACACCTAGAAAATTGTTAGGAAAAGGCCTGGGCTCAGGACTTGAAGGAAAGATACTTTGGAATTATGCTTACTAGTTTTCACCTCCCATGGCCTAATTGTATTGACACTGTCATTAATATTAATCTATTTACTAAAGGCGAACAAGGTCAGGAACTTGGTGTACTCTGAATGTGTTAACAGGCACCTGTTTAATGACAAAAAATCTATGGAGAATCCAGGGAAGCAAGCATTTATATTTAAAATGCTTTCTTCATATGTTTGAGCGTGCGTTACTTTTTTTCCCTTTTAAGCTGTAACATACTCCTGTACATCAGAAAGTGTCATTAACTGTAGGCCACAGACCTCTACAATAATTTGCCTGTATTCCGGCTGGTCGATATTTTGCAGCATATCTTCAACCAGAAGGGAAAAATTCATTTCATACATCGTCATATCCGATAAGGTTGGTTGCTGAAAAAGAAATAATACTTCAAGACCATTTTGAATTAGAACAAAACCACCCGCGGGTCGAGCCTATTCGCTTGTTGAATAAAATAATTTTCAACTTAGAAATATGACCACTGCAGGATCAAAAAGGGAGCAGGTTTCCAAGTCCATGACTTGGAAGGGGTCTTCTAGGCTTATGCTTTTTATAAATGAGTTTTAGTAGAAGTACCTGACTTCCTCCATTCTATTCTATTTGTGTTTTACTCAGATCCAAATAGAAAACTTGATTTTTTTTTTTTTTTTAAATTTTAATCATATCAGGAACAAACTATGCCATAATGTATTACTTAAGGTAAAACAGACATTAACCATCAAGTAATTCACCATTAATAGTCAGGTAGAGCAGAATTAACAGAATCTCTGCTGATTTTACCTGGGGTAAGAATTTCCCTGCCACTATTAAACCATTGGGCGTTCTCTCCAAGATCTGCCACACCCGATCATAGAATCCAGCAGGAGTTCGATTGAGAGAACCATCGATCTGCCTTCTGTTTAGCCAGCTTCTGTGGACGAAGAAAATGAAGAAGTAAAAAAAACCTGTTACAGATGCAGACCCAAGCCGTGTCTGTGGCGTAGGGCAGTCAGGTAAGCAGGGATTTCAAATCCATATTAATGATGCAGCACATGTGGTGCTTACTGGTAAGTTACACTCTAAAGCCAACAAAACCAAGATGCTCAACGTAGAGAGGCTAGAATGTTATTCTGATGTGGGTGTTTGTGCTTAATGTAACTGGAGGAAAAGAATCAGCTGTGGAATCTCTCCAGTGCAGCACAGTAACTGCAGCAGGCTGAGTTCATCACCTGCAATCAATTTAAGTCACCATAAACCAAGGCATACAGAAACCAGAAGTCACTGTGTGGTACCTATGACAGCCAGATTCATACACACTGAAAAACCCCCAGTATTAACTGTAATGTTAACATTTGTTTTACCATACTACAACAGGCAAAACAATTCACTATATAAGTACAGCTTAATTAAATTCCGCATCTATAAAATGTGATAGATAACAGAAAATGGATTAGAAACACCTCTCACTCTGATTTAAATACCAAGTTAGAAAAATACAGTTGAGCAGGACTGCTAAAGGTAGTTATTTTTTATCACAGAGTGTAGAAATACAAGTGGCCTGTAAATTTAGAAAACCTGACAGAATGGTTGTGTTCAACTAAAGCTTTGAACAAACTCGGTTACATTCTCCATAAATTAAAATCTTGTCTGCCTTCAGAAGCATACTGTCCCCACCTTCTTCTTTTTTCTTTTTTAACAACCAGGAGGTCTGGAATGAATTTCATCTTTTTCTCTCAGTAAAAACTGCAGTAACTGTACCCTCCATGAGACCTTGGAGAGAGGTTAGTTGTGGAGAGACTTAGGGAGGTAAATATACCACCAGCCCTTCATCCATGACAAATTAACTGGCAGCGATACATGGTATAACAGCAGCAGAGATTTCTTCTAAAAATCAGAACAGCAGGAAAAACTGTCCCAGAAAGAAAATGCAGGGAGGCAGTGTGCTGTATTTCCTGGCAGGAAGAGAATCATAGAACTTTTGAGAACAAGTCCCTACTGGGTAAGGGAAAACAAGCCAGTAATATTGTACAGGATGAAGTTAAAGGCACACATTTTTGAAGGATATGCTTTTGTACTCTGAGAACCCCCAAAAACGAATCTTCATCCTCAGAAAATCAGCCACAGTGCTCTTTGCTGACCCAGCTGTAGTACATTAATCAAAAGCAGAAGGCACAGTGACAACTCGGCTAAGTTCTCTAATGACGGATGGTGCCTGAATTGCTTACTCTGACCAAATTGTTTCCTAAATAGCACTGCACTTTGGAACATACTGCAAAAAGAAACCTAGGGTTGTTCTGCTAAGGTTTTGCAGGAGTAATGTCACCAAGAAACAAGCATTAATCATCACAAGCAAGACACTGAAAAGCATGTAGGAGACAGAGCACACCGTCAGCTGGACTGAGAGATTCTACACACACAAATTTGGGAAGAGGGAGCAGGCACTGATTTAAAGGAGCTTGATTATCAGGCATTCTAGATTAAGGAAAAATCCAGACTATGTTTTGAATTAAGCAGGAACATTAGCATGACATGTGGCTTATTTCCTCCTTGTTGAGAGAAAAGGCCACCATCCATTCAGTCTGGGACTACAGAAATTATCAGCAGCATTATGTCCTACAGCCTAATCTAATTTAACTGTATCAATAAGAGCAAAGTCAGAAGTCCTCCTACAGGCTTTACTTCTAGTTAAGTGGGAATATTGTAAGTTTAACTTTTGTCTTGCAGGCCTTGTATCCCCATGAATGCTCTTCTGGCAGCTCGTTACAGCTTGGAGAAAAGATTACAAGTTTCAGGCAGCACCGCTACCTCTTGAGAACTCTAAAGAACATCTGTTCTTAATTCATAGAGTAAGCTAGAAGAAAGAGGCTACTGAACAGCAGACAAACTGTTCTTATGAGTTTCTTAAGTAGATGGTATCGAGCAATTTTTGGCTCCTTTCCTCACATCAAGGCATGTACTGCTGCACATGACTGCCAAAGTATAGATATTACTGCTATAAAGTAAAACTTCCACAAAGATGAAACTGAAAAGGGAGGCTGCAATGTAGAAGAAGCAATTGTAGAACCTGGACACAGATGAAAGAATGAGAAAGTGCCTCTTTTTCCACCTTTCCCTAAGTAAGTACGTTACTGATTGCAGATGCCTGGTGATTACAAAAGTATACACAGTATTTCAGAAGCTAAAATTACTGAACAGCCTAGTATGGTTGCGAACAGGTGCCACAAACCCATGTATCTCATTACCTCCCCTGCTGCTGTGGCTGGAGAATATCCAGCAGAAGCTGCTTCACTTCACTAGGGGACAGCTGGTACAAGTCCTTCGCTGGCATATCCCCAGCACGGATTTTCAGTTCGTACTTCATAGCATGGATAATCCACCTGAAGTAAAGGGAGGAATATTTATTAATTAAATACAGAGTTTCCAAAGATGAAAAACCAGCCTAATAAAACAGCTCGTAAGGATTCCACATGATCCTGCCATTTGGCTGCCAGGGCACGTATAAAACATCAAACAAAGACTCTACTACTCTTACTGTACTGCAGAACTTAGATTTTGTGGTTTTGGTTTGCAATACAATACAGACTGAAAGGGATAATACATCAATTTTAACAACTGGGTTGTGAAGCATGGTTCTCACAGGCAAGAGATATTTGGCCACGTACTCCCCTACACCCCATGTTGAGACATTTATCTGCTTTTTGAGGTTAAAATTCCTACTCCAAATTATGCCGTGACAGTACATGTATTTTGATGATGAGTTTTTAAAAGCATAAAATTTTAATTATTTTACATGTACAAGTACTTCAGGGCTTATTTATAGTTTAAGCCTCTGAAATTCCTATTTGCAGTCTAGCACGTTTTCTTCTGATGCTCCCATTTGAAAAGACTTCATTAAATAAAAATATGGCAACAGTGAAGAATTTTCAGCCTTAGGTATTAGAGAGGCAGAACGGTGCAAGTTCTTAAGTCACAATCTTTTCAGAAAGACGGTTAGTAACTACACAGGATTCTGAGATGTCAGGTCAACTGATTCAATGTTGATTTAAGAGGTTTCTAGGACCATTCTTGAAGGTCCAAGACACAAGAAGAGAATATTGGACAACACGGACCTATTACATTATCCAGCACACACTACTTCATTTTAGTGTGTGAACAGTGTCCTTCTCTTGTTACTAAGATAAACACAACTGGCTTAGGAATTGGTTGTCATTACGACTCCGATGTCTCAGTGTGCAAGTCATCCCCTGGTATTTTCTCTTTGCAGTGGCCTACAAAGCACAGCAAAGTCATTCTGAACTCCTCACTGACAGGAGGTGGGTAGAAGTCAGTTGGTTGGAGGGTTTTACAGTAATAGGGCTGTCAGGAACTTGATCTATTTCAACATGAAACCCTGAAAACAAATCAATAACAGGACACTAAATCACATCATTATCAAACAGGAATAGTGTTTCTGCGAGAAGGTTAATTTTGCTCACTGGAGTGGGTGATAACACTGAAATAAAGGAAATTGAATCTCTAGCATTAACCTTGAAAGAAAGAAAAAAAATTGCCAACAGGATTAGCTGTAGAGAATGAGGAAGGAGAAGAAAGAGGAGTATCATGGATCCATGTAGGGTACAGAAAAGGTATTTAAGTGTAAAAGTACAGATGTGCTTGCAGTTAAATGCAGTACAGGTGATTTGAGAAGTTTTTGGGTTTATGATGTCTGGAATGTTCTGCTGAAGTGCAAAGCATCAATCTTGTGTGCTAGAAAAAAACCTGTTGGTATCTACCTCCAGTGCTGAAATGCTTTATTTTCTCTATGAAAAAATATGGAAGATGGAACATTTAAGTTCTAATTTTAAAGCATGTTCACTAATTCTGAAAATCTGTCAGTAGCACCTGGCCTCTTGAAAGAAGTGCCTGGTCACATGCACCTGTCTCTTCTAAATGTGAAAAAGACTTTGTTTCTGCAGAGAGCAAAGTAATTGCAGATAGCGTGGAACAGGACAACCCTCCAGCACAGAGTATTTGGAAGCCCCCTTATCAAAGGGAGGAGTCGTCCAGCGGGTAAATGTTTGTGTACCTGCTGCCAGGTAGGAAACCGCCTCAGGACACCGATCCACTCAAGCGCCTACTCTGTTATTTCAGGTATATGGCCAGTTGCAGTCTGAGACAGAACCCCTTCGACCCGCTGCGTTGCTAACACAGGCTCGCCGTCGCAGTCTGGGTGCCCAGCTGGTCGCCGCCTCCGTGGCCACGAGGTGTGCCGGGCACAACGTCCTGCCCGTTGGCTGCCGGCAGGACGGGGTGACCTGGAGGCAGCACGCTTGGCACTGCTCATCTGCTCTACCGAATGCATCCATTCCCACGACACTGGGTTTGGTTCTAAGGCCCTAACGTGGCAGGCCTCACGCTGTGAAAAATCCTGTAGCTCACCGTATCAGCTGGAGGAAAGCTTCAAACGGGCTATTACAAGGTACGCCATTCATTGGCAAATTTAAGGTTAGTTGCGTACCTGGTTTTGGCACACTAATTTGAAGCAGGCTTCCTAGAAATATAAAACTGAATGATACAAGTTTTGCTGCATCATCTTGTAAGAAGTATTTTTCGATGTAGTAACAATCTCTGAGTGTGTATGTTCCCCTGCCACACTAGCAGTAAGAAGCAGAATAGCTATTTTACTGACCCAATGCGAATCTTCAGCATGCCACTGAAAAGCTCGGGTGAATTGGAGATGATCCAGCCAATGTGTATGACATTTTTTTGAACTACGGCATCTCTTTCGTCTTGTAAATGACATTTTTCATAGATGATGTTCTTAATCACTGCTGGGGATAAGGGATTAGAAATAACTTCTTCCTCTTGGCCAAAAGCTCCCAGTGTCACCTAGGGTATATTAACAACAGTTCAGAAGATGTGGAGAGGAATAAAAGCACTGTTAGAAGCAATTCAGAAATGAAGCTTCGTGAACTCTGCTTTCCTTGTTAAAATTTCACAATACAAAATTAATTTTATGCCAATGACTGCTGCTTGTTAGTACTGTTAGCTGGCTGCTATTAAAATAACAAAATTCCCTAAAGACCACAGTAACTATGGAATATTTTTCCAAATGAAACGTACAGGACCACTGCTTTGGTTTCAAAACTGGCTGTGTCACCCTGACGGTTCAAGTAGGTTTAGGCAGCCTTTCGTTTCTGACACTTCCGCTGCTGGGGCTCACTTAAAATTCAGAATTAAATTACTAGTTTAGTTTTCTTATTTCTAATAGCATCCTAAAAGTTATAGCCTTCATTTTAAAAAAGATATTGCTAGTACTGGATTGTTTAACCACAAAGGAGGAGTTTTGTTAAAATTCTGATCTGCATTGAATCTACTGTCTGTAAACCACAGAAACGCTAATTTTCCCCTATAATAAAGATGCGTATTATAAAGGGATGAGTGAAGGCACATTAGGTTAACAAGCTGCAAACGAACAGCTATGAATTCTGCTGCATGCAGATGCAGCTTCCTGCGCAGCTACGCAGCGCCAGCAGCACGTACCCAGCCCTCAGTCTGCTGTAAGACCACGGCAGATCTGTCACGTTAGTATGGCACAGAGGGAAGCATACACATTAACACAAAAATACATGCTATTCAATTACTGTTACTTGGAAGCAGCTCTTAATGAATTTAATTAAAATTATTATGCTGGGAGAAAAGAGTCCTCCTTAGGCAAGGAAGAAACACTACTGATTAAACGTTGTTTGGGACAGAAAATGAAAATCCCAAGAGACTTTTGCTCAGCTGCCACCATCTGTTATCTTATGCTCAGCTACAGAGAGAGTGGCTACATCTTCATTACGTAACTCTGAGAAAGAAGCTGTGTTACTTGACTCCCTCTGCTTTTTTGAAATAAGAGGGCACAGATATAAAATCATAGAATCACAGAATGGTTTGGGTTGGAAGGGACCTTAAAGACCATCCAGTTCCAACCCCCCTGCCATGGGCAGGGACACCTTCCACTAGACCAGGTTGCTCCAAGCCTCATCCAGCCTGGCCTTGGACACTTCCAGGGATGGGGCATCCACAACATCTCTGGGCAACCTGTGCCAGTGCCTCCCCACCCTCTCCGGGAAGAACTTCTTCCTGATATCTAATCTAAACCTCTAAATCTAAGGGATTATGTAAATCATGCCTCCTCCCATCTTACCCAGACACTGAACTGCCTGTCCAGTATTTTTCTGTCATTAAATACATTTACTGACCCATAGTAAATGCAAGAATTCAATACATTTTATCTAGATTTCTCTTCAGTAAGGATTTTTTTAAGCCCTTGGGTACTTTTAAAAAGAAGCATCAGAGGCCTTCAAAATTAAAAAGCCCATTTAGTTTCTCTGTTATCATTCCTTAATACATTTCTGAGGAGTAACGACTTACCTGCTTGCCCTGAACTAAAACATTAGTAATTGATGGTGCAAGGCTGTCCACTAGTTTACCTAAAAGACTTGCTGCGAAGCGCACAACAGACCTGAGGGCAGAAAACAGAGCAATCCCACTGCATATCAAAAGCTAGTTTAATGAATTCATACATGTTTGAAGTCTGCCACAGCAGAACTCAAAACAAACTCAGTAAATACACACATACATTTTTTATAGAGCAGAATTTGGATGGATTTTATGTAATCTTCTATGGATTTTCATTTTTTAAATCTAGATGTAGGTTAATGGATCACAAATAAATTTAATTAGAACTCATTAAACTGCCAGCTCTGTAAGAAGCTTGTTGTTCTTTTCTCAGCATCATCTTGACAACAGGGAGGTAAGAGACAGCAGCTTCCCTTTTGGGACATTTTCATCATTTTGTAAGATAACCTTGGTCATTTTTTAATCTATTTAAGGAAGAGTTAGAAAGATTTTGCCAGAGAAAGTACAACACGTAACACCAGGGCTTTGTTTTGTTTTCCATGCTGAGGTAATATTTTGCAGGTGTAGCATGAGGAGACCTGTGTAAACTGCTAGCTTAAAAACTAGCTGCAGCATCAAAGAAAAACATTTTTTTCATATATCCAGTTGATGCTTAAAGGTGTAAATCCTTTTAGTAACAATTTCCTGACAAAATACAAACCTAACACATGTGGGTTTGAGCTTTGCCAGCACAGGCTTTGAGGCTACTAAGAATCATTTATCCACAGAGATGAGGAACAAGTTGCAATATTCTACTGTGTTAGTAAAAAATTCAAACAGTTGATGTTGATTCCTGTGAAAACTGCTAGGCACTTCTTAAGATCAAGAGCAAAGCATTTCAAAAAGGCATTAGCTGATACTATCAAAATGCAAATAAGCAAAAAACCAAAAATTTCATGGAGCTCCATTCCAGACCTCTGGGCACGTTACCTGTTTCCCATGTACCAGTAAAGTAGTAATATGTGGGGTTATAGAAGAAGAAAATTTCTGTGCAAATGCAGCACTGTAGCGCAACACCAACCTATGTGTATGGCACATGGCAGTCATGGAAGAGAAATGAAAAACAGTTTACATGCATTGTTGCCAAAACTCTTCTTGATTTTCACTCTTCACAGAAAATATCACCAAGGTATTCTGGCACTACCTTATTACTGGCAAAGGCCCATTTAACCGTATGAGCAGACTAGAATGAGGAACAGTTTCTGTATTTACAGACTCATCTCTGTTCGGAACAGTTACAGAGCCAGAGAACAGAATCAGGACAGGCTCAACTCATTTCTTTGATAAAAAGAAATTAAATTTCTACTGAGCTTCTGGGCAAAGAAATTAATAAACGACACGAAAATACCAACCTTCTTGCTGGAACCTTTTAAAGTTATTGTGACAAAGTTGGGTTGAAAGCAAACTATTTGGGAGCAATAAACAAACTGCGTTAAGTGTGGCAACTTAACTGATTTATATTTGATCACCGGCCTTGCTACAGAAAGCTATTAATAATATTTTTTCATGCCCTGTAAGACATAATATTAGTATTCTTTTCTCATTATTTGCATTTAACAAGAACTGTACATCGGCAAGAGCAGAACCAGCTTCTTACTCTTTTATATATTCTAAGACATAACAGGAAGAAAATACTTGGAAATTTTTTGAAAAGCATTGCAGACCAGATCTTCAGCTGCAATGAACCAATACAATTTGGACAGTAAAGCTGGTTTGGGGGTTTTCTGGTTATGCCCTCCCCCCCCTCCGCCTTAGGTGCATAAGGATCCAGGTTTACTCTCTATAAACACATTAGGAAAAAAAATAAAAAGGAACATGCTGTATATATACAAACCAGAGCTTTTTGCTGCCCGCTCGTCGATAGATCCTTTCAATATGCTCAGCAACAGTACCTAAATGCATTTAAAAAAAAGGCAGAGAAGAGGCACAGGTTTTTCATTTAACAGTAATAATAAGGTAAACTTGACGAAAGCAGTTAATTCTGAATCAGCTTTAGTAAAGCACTTACCTTCTGTGCCTAACACTGAAAACTCAGATGTAGTTAAGCCCCCTATCATCCCGCAGTACGTTGTTAGGCAAGATGCCCATCAGATTTCCGCCCCCTTGGCTGCGCACGCTACGGAGACTTACAACATCACCTACTGTCGCAATATATTGGGGAAGATTAATCTGTGTGCAGGTTTGGTCTCTAAAGGTACATCCCCATCGTAAGGTGCACCCTGAAACTGCAGACTGCGTTTTGGATACGGGATGTAGATGCTCTCTACGCCGTCTCGCCTCGTTGTTGAGCTAAAACCTAGAGGGAGCAGGAGGGGGATCCTGTGCTTGACGGTGTAGTTCACCGAAGCGCCGATAGGTCTGGACAAAGCCTGTCAGAGCGGATATCCAAGACAGGAGCTGTTTTCAGCTTCGTAGATGAACAACAGACACCTGGTGAATCATGTGGGATGCGAGACTTCCATTTTACAGGAAGCTGGGAAGGTGTGAACGAGGATCTTTCCTGCCTGGCAGCTCTGCCCTGAATAACCACAGTAAGGTGCCCAGAGAGATACCCGAGTGACTGCGTGCGCTAGCTTGGTCAGCACTAGCTTGGTCAGCGGGGGCGTTGCAGCACTACTCCAGGGCAGGGCATTCTCACTGCTGCACGAGACATCATGTTACTGACTTCCTGCTCTCCCTCTCCAAGCTGATTTTTGTGCCACACCAGGTAGTTCGGGATTCAGAGGAGGGATGAAGTACATGAGTTACATCCGTGAGAACAACAGATGCCATTCTTTCGACAGCCCACAGCGATCATACTTGCATCAGCTCGCTCTGCTGACATCTCCTCAACTGTGCAGGGCCCAAGTGGGGACCGTTACGTTAACAGTAAAAATGGTGACAAACATTCCATTATTGAGACTGTTTAGCTGCTAGATTTTAGATTCTCAGATGGAAGGCAGTGTTTTTCCTGCCAGGCACTGAGTGGTGAACAGTAAGTTCGTCTGTAACAACAGCAGTAGGGGAAGTTGACTCACAAAATCGTAGCCTGTGCCTGTCAGCTGGAACACCCAAGGTGACAGGACAAGGGGTAATGGGTATAAATTGAAATCAGGGAGGTTTAGATTAGATGTCAGGAAGAAATTCTTCACAGAGAGGGTGGGGAGGCACTGGGACAGGTTGCCCAGAGAAGCTGTGGATGCCCCATCCCTGGAAGTGTCCAAGGCCAGGCTGGATGAGGCTTGGAGCAACCTGGTCTAGTGGAAGGTGTCCCTGCCCATGGCAGGGGGGTTGGAACTGGATGATCTTTAAGGTCCCTTCCAACCCAAACCAGTCTGGGATTCTATGATTCTTCAGCTTTTATAAAATATCTTCTTTATATTTTATAAAACAGATTTGTTTTATTGACTGTGATTATTTAATGTCAGTCTCAGTACTGTCCAGCTGTAGGAGGACAGGAAGTCAGGTCAGTGACTCAGACTGTTTAATGCAGGGTGCATGTTAAAAAGGTGATCACCACCTAGGGTTTCAGACTGGGCGGCACAAAAAGGTCTACACAAGTTACCTGCGAACAGTCAGAGACAGGACAGTACTTCTTTGACCTACATGGTTCCATCATCAGGATGTAACGGTCGTGCTGGTTGCGTACAGAGGATGGGAAGTCTGCCTTGAGTTGTTTCCAGCAAAGGAAACAGGACACAGCCTACAAAGGCCTGAAGCAAGGTGCCGAGGCTCTCGAAGCCCGACGGTAACGGTCGCGGAAGCACCTGCTTGAGAGGCTACACATGCCTAACGCGCGGGTTCCGACCGTGACGTGGGATTCACACTGGATTTCACCAATGCGCTGTGTATCAGCCAATGAGTTCTATTCTGCTTTAAACTTCTAATATAGCAACACTGACATAATGTGTGTCTGTGCCAAAATGACAACTCTTCATCACAAGAACCAGCTGTCTTACATCAAAATGAAGAAGCAGGGCTCTGTAAGATAAGGGGCTAAGTTACACCGCTTGACAAGTAAGAGAATATGATTTCAGCTTACTGTTCCTCTTTTTCTGAGGAGCATTCAAGTATACAAAGGCAGCTAATAAGCAGGTTTTGGGGAGTAAAAAAAAAAAAGCCACCAAAATTTGCAGCACAAAAGCCAAAAGCCTTAGTAGCCTCTTCGGAATTATTTTACATGAGTATAAATCCTGTGCTCCAATGCAACGCCATAATACAAAATTAAAGAAGATTCACAAGTAGCCTGATTACATAAAAGTAAAATAAAAATGCAGTATAGAAGCCTCACACATTTCAGACTAAATGTCACAGACTTGTCTTTAGCTTCAGTTTTCTATAGAGGTCAAATCCTTTGTTTTTTGCATCTGCGCATTCAAGATAACAACCAGATACAGCACCTGCCTACAAACAATCCAGAAGAGTTCATCTACTTAGCTCATTCCCCACCACGCTATGAATTTGCATGTCCCATTTAATGCAGAAATTGCTTTAAACTGCGAAGAAAACAGCTACACAACTGCTGGCATGCATGGCCATTAGTCATGTTCATTGTAACTAAACACACAGCTGCTTCCTGAAATACTCGGAGTAGTCAAGTGAAAGCAGCTCTTACCTTCCTTGGTGATAAAATTCGGTCCTTCCCTTTTAAGCAGTACGCTGGAGAGTAATGCTTGACTTGCCAGGCAATTGCAGTCCTTAAAACAAACAGCAACATCATAACCACCTCTAGCCTTCACATTTTCAGTGAGGCAAAGCCAGAAGAGCTATTACAAATTCCAAGCGAAAGCAAAGGGCATTTTATAAAATTTAAATAATAATAAAAGTCTAGAAATTTTGTTTTTTAAGGGACTTCACAACTCTTTCAGAGCCTGTGTATGCTGCACCCTATCACTGCTGCTTGCAGAGGCTTCTCCATAGCTCCAATTAAGTTGTGGTAATTTGGCCTCAGAAACGTTTCCCGATTTTCCCTTCCTGGGTGCTGTCATTTACAGCCGAAACGCCGTAGTGGCACAGGAACCAAGCGGAACGCGTGGTGTGTTTCTGCTGAACGCTGCATCTAGGAACAGGGAGTGGAGGTTTTCGTCTAGAGATGGGAAAATCGCCAGACTGGAACTTTCCCCTGGTGTCATTAGGAAGTCACCAGTCTGCCAGAGTGAATACCAACTGCCGAATTCGACCGAGTTTTACTCTAGCAATAAAGTATCTATTCATGCTTTTAGATGGTTATTACCAGCAGATTGGGGTAGCTGGGAGAAATGGAAACCAACAGTTACAGCAAGAAGGGCCAGAAAGTTCCATGCTGTAAAGATAAAGGACTGGCAAGAGGAAGATTCCCCAAGCATGACGAGGAACATGGAATCATTTAGGTTGGAAAAGACCTTTAAGGTCAGCGAGTCACACTTTTTAAGTTACTAGCTATATACTAGCATTGAACCATGACACTACCCATGACCCGTAACCACGCTGATCGAAGGAGGCAGCTGCTAAAAGGAATACCCGTTCTTAATTTCTCATTTCATGACAAGGAAGTTACGCTGTATTTTTATCAAGTTTTCTTACATTAAGTTTCTGCAGGATCTCATATGTTGACTTGTTTTTCCAGTCATTAATATTTATATCTGGTTGCTGCTCAAGTTCAGAAGCATTTGGAGTACTAGACTGTCTCTTGACTTTTGAGTGTTTTGGAAGATCCAACTCCTCCAAACTCTTAAATACAGGAGCCCTGAAAAATGATATTTCACTTCTTCATAGTTCAGAAAAATATTGTAATTATCAAATACTTCATCACTATTATTTACACATAGCCTTACTCTTCTGTTTCAGTGATTCTTAGGAAGTCCAGCTGTTCAACAACTGCTCCAGATATTAATGTCTGAAATGAAAAAAAAATTAAAATTTAAAGGATGCAGAAATGTACATCACTGGAGTTGTCCTTTGACCTCAATAGCTTGCTGATGGTTCCCACTGAGAAAGCAGTTTATCTACAGTTCCAAATACCTTTACACTATTCCTCGCTTAAGACAGCGGAATTCTCTTGGGGCTGCTGTCCTGCTGCTCTTTTGGCTGCAACGTACAGCTTCATAAAGTGATCTCCACCCCTACACCCCCCGAAAACCAAACGCCGAGTCTGACGAAAACACCCGAGATCAAGGATGAGCATTCCTTAGCGTCCTGCCTGATCCCTGCGTTCTGGCTCATGATGCTCATTATTTCAGGGGTTGCTGAGGGATGAGTAGTTCTCCTGTCAGTCTCTGACGTTACAGGAAAAACCAAGTTCAGAGCGTTTCCTGCGCTGCAGTCGTTTCTTAATCCAAGCATGCCTGCCCTAAATTTGCACATCACACGCAGCTGACACCTACTTCTGTCTCAGAATGCCGCACAGCCGAAATTCAGCGTTGCATTTATCTGATGCATTCATGACAATTCTTTCACTCCACATATATATTGATTTCCTTCTCACAGACTAGCAGGAAAAATGCATGTACTACAGCATTTCTGAGAGTACGTTATGACGGTTCTCATGGCTGAAATAAAACTGGCTGTGTACTGTGACCTTCTGAATTCCATGTGCATTGTACACACGTTGCAGCAACAATGATCTGTTACACCGTGAGGTGAGTGACTACAAGAAAATGCTCTGCTGTTACTGCTGCTGTCATTCATTCTTTGACTTGCACATCTGCCTGGACACGTGACCACAATGAAGGTGTCAGCTGTATGGTGACAGTAACCACACCCCCAACACAACAACCACCACTGCAGGCAAACGAAAGGTTTTCCATGTGCAGTAATGGCACTTCCTACAGGAAAAGTCAGTGGTAACAGCAGAGACTACCTGACCTACATGTGACCAGGAGAAACCCGTGGGTACTTGGCAGATTACAAGGATCCCTTAAACTATTATAGCTATGAGGGTTTCATTTACAAACGGCCCAGCTGTTCTACAAATTCGTGATTCTCGAGAGAACACAACTGAGTCTTCAGTCTCCTCTCTTACGAAAAGAAGGGTTCTTCAGTAGGTGTAAACTAAGATTAACTAGCACATACAGGTATCTAAAACCAGCACCTGACCCAGTAATTTCACGTTTTAATGAAGCAACGCTCCTGCTGTAAGACAGATTCAAACAGCAACGATGATAAAAACAGATCTTAGTTCTTGTAAGAATTCTAATGTATGTGAAGCACCTTTTTTTCCCCCTCGTTGATTATCTAATCAAAATAAATCCCTCAATGCTTGACATCACGGATTTATCCTTTGGTGGTAATTTCACAAGATTGCCGAACATAAAAAAAACCCTTTTCCCTTTAGAAAATCCGCTATGAAGATTATCACTTTTAAAAGGCTCAAGAGAAATTAAAATAAACCCATGTTTCTTGTGAGATTAACCACAAGATGTACCAAATGTCTTGGCCCTTGACTCCTTAATTTTATGCTACAAAAGTAGTAAGAGTACACGTACCAACCTGAGCAGGTTAAGAACTCAGCACTGAGGGAAAACATCATACCTGTACTCTGTCAACATGAACCTTCACTCCGCCCACAACTCCCTTTTTAAAGGCTGCCAACATGTCTAAGATTGGATTGAATCTGCTCCCTCTGAAAGTTGAAACAGAATTTCATTAATCCTGCAATTAGGTAGATACCGCACTGCAAACGATGCTTTTCTCTCTTTCTACCTTATGTTGTCTTCACGGATAAGAACAACAAACAGTGGACGACCATGCATTTTCCAGTACTGCTTAATGAACTGCAGCGCATTCTAGGTAAGAAATAATACGTTAGTCACAAAAAAAGCTCTAAAAAACCCCAAGAGCAAAAGAGATTAGAAGAGCATTCTTAAAATAACAGCACTGAGAGACCCAACAGGTTAAAACCCCTTAGCTAATAACCCATTAACACATTTCTGCAGAGACATAAGCCGCCTTCAGGCACGTGTTCACCAGCTGTCTGAGAACACTCCTCGCAGGTCCCCTCACAGGGGACCTGACCTTTGCAGCACTGCCTTCCTTCCTGAACTGTGAGGCAGGGAATTCTTAATTCTTGTGCAAAGTCGAGTAGTAGTTCCCCCCAGTGAGGCTTTCAGATTTCCCTTAAACAGAGCAGTCACGTCCCTCTTTTCAGCCAGGAAGATTTGTTTTCCCAAAGAAACAATTGCAGCACTCCCAATCCCACTGGGGTGAGCATTTTTGTCAGGACACACGCTGGGCTGACGGGATATTTATCTTAATACACTTTCCAGCACAAACTGCAAGCCTACGTAGAAGAACACACACTACAGCTTTCCCCTTTCAGTCTTCTGTTTTAGCAAACTTCACAGGTGATTCTTCTACAGACTCGCTTTTTGTCATTTATCCAAGGAAAAGTTACAGGTAAATAAATACCTTAATGTCATCAATCAACATCATAACGTCCTGAGACATGTAGAAATCACTCAGATCAAAAATGATCGAGTAGCAAACTACAGTCTTCCCTAGTATCCGATAAATCTGTGGAGAGAGAAAGCTTCCATTAATCTTTTCTTTAAAATATTTGAAGCACTGAAGTACCTGAAAAGGTAAAAAGGTATTTTGCCACTATTAAAGTAATAATCAATTAACAACACTTGAATTAAATATTTAGGATAAGACCTAGATATCTAATTTTAGGTTCTCTGGCTTTTACTAGGTATGCTGACCTACATTCTGCTTCAGCGAAAGCAGCCCACTTCACCACCATCCAGCCTGTTGTGGCCAAGTGTTACTGCAGCTGGGTGTCTAGGGAACACGACAGCTTAACAGTAAGACACAGCATGCACGTTCGGAACTGCAAAACACATTACAAGGACTTGAAAATAAGATACGTGCGTAACATAAAAATACGTTTCAATTCCATCTAAAAACATTCAGAGACTAGTTCAAAATTTATCTGAAGTAACAGTAATATAAACGTTTCTTGCAACAACCTTTGATGTTCCAAGGCATCCTATAGGCCTGTCCGGTCTTCCGGATAATCCCAGTTTCTCATTGACTCCCAAGTGGAAGTAAGCCTGTGAGAAAGAGTCACAAAAACTGAGGGAAACCTAGGTATTAGCCTTTCTCCTGCTCCTTCTGTGTCCCACACAAAAGCCGTGTGCATTCCGCTTTAAACGGAAAACCTGGGCATCATTTTGGTGGGCTTTTTCCCTTTTTTAAACACATATCTCTGTAACAGCCACCAATAAAGTGAGAGAACGCTCAAATCTTCAAACTCTCATTGAAATGGGATTTTTGTAAAAGATTATTTGTGTTCATTATCTGGCCAATTTTGCCTTCTGCAGTGCATTTCCAGTGTGGATACAAAGGTAAAACAGTAATAGGGGAATGTTTTAAAGGTCTGTATTCTAATTTTAGTAGAGGCCTGCAAAATTAATGCATCAACAATACAGGCAAGAGGGAATTATCTCATTTTCATCACTTGATTCTTACTCGAGTTAAATTATGTGTGCCTGGTATTACTCCAACTGATATAATTTTGGAAGACTTGAACATAATCAATCTGCAGTTATTACCGTGTCTGAGGATAAATGCATAAAAAAACAACTCAGCTGTGAGAAGACACTGTAAATGCATCAGTTAAACCAAACTGAAAGGTGTAATTTTTTTCCTTATTTGGGCCGGTTTAGGTAAGGAGGCACTGCTGCTACAACTTCAGAACATCCAGAATTCAGGACACCGCCCTAAGCTCAAGCTTTCTTTACGTTACAGGAAGGTAGTTCAGAAGCAAATGAAAGTGAACATTCCAAAAGTACGCTCCGTAGGGTTTTACTGCCGCCGGCTTGGGGCCCTGCTGACGCTGCCTGTGTCACTGCAGTAGTACCAAGAACTACGTAAAGAAGAAGATGGAGACAGTTACCAACGTCACTGGTTTGTGCAGACTAAATAACTGTATCCAAGTGGGAAACGCAGGGAGACATCAAAACATGAACAGCTTTAAATAACCCACCTATTCATAACAAACCCAAAGGATGTTCAACCCCTTTTTTGGGGTAAATAATGGAGACTAGCAGAGTGGCAGTAGGCATTACAGTTTGACAGGAAAAGGACCTTCATTTTCCTAGGATGTAAAACCTAAAATGTTCTTAACATAACCAGAACTGCAGCAGCCTTGTCGTGGTCTCTTCCCCTGCAGACTCGCTCCGTAGCTAGAGGCCTCAAGTTGCTCTGCAGTCTACTAAAGCAGTTCCACCCCAACTGACAGCTTTCCTTCTTGCGCTCTCACAATCAAAACGTCGGCGCGGATTCAGCGCCAGAGCATCCCAACAAAGCACAGCCTCATCCAAGCCCAGCTGCTTCATGCGCGGGGTTTTTTCTTATTAAAATGCCCTTCTTTCTGGAAAATTAGAGCTGCTAAGAGCAGGAAACGGCTGTGAAAGCAGACTGGACTGCTGGGTTGATTTATGAGAGTGAACCGAACTACCGTGGGCTTTCAGACCTTCTGTTTCTGCGGGGTTGTTCATCTGTCACCAGTCTACGCCTACGAAGTATTCTGCTGTCCTCCCCCACTCCCGCTACACAGATCCTTTTTTCCTCTACACTGCAGGCATCTTGGCCCATTTTCTTATCTTCCTGTTTGTCTTTTCATTCCCCGCCCCAGACTTTGCGGATGTGCTTACATGACCCCCATCCCACTTTCAATCCCTCATTTCCCTGAATCACTGTCTTTCCCCTCATCCACTGTTTCTTTTTACGCTATTTTTTGGATACACGCCTGTTCACAGGGATTAAACTGTTACCGTGTGCCAGCAGGGCAGCTCAGAAGTTCCTAACGAAACACCAGTGAGAACTGACAGCACCGGAATAGCAAAGACTGAGATCCATGTTCTCCATGGATCAACCCTCTTTTCCCCAAAATACAGGTAATTGCTCCAGCATTAGCCTCCGCTCCCCACACGGGAGAACAAAAAATGCTACCAGGGGTCTTTTGTTTGTTTGCTCCTGGATTTGTGTTGGGTTTTCGCATGAGCCCGGAGATGAACGCACAGCTCTCACGCTGCCCTGCACCACTTCCGTCGCCGCCTCTGGAAGCCTGCTAAAAGTTGTGCATCAGGCCATTTATTATTTTCATGATGTTCTTTTTAAAAAGTAAATTTTGATGAGGCAGATGTACCTACCCCTTGTGAGTATAAAGAAAATGTCAGAATTGCTGGATGTCTCACCAGCTTTTGAAAAATCAATCCTAACACAGAAGTTGTCACAGCTAGGAATTTAATTAATAATGAAACTTAATGACGGTCTCATCTTTTCGTCAGGGAGACCAAAGAAACAGTGGATGACAGGGAGACAACATATACTGCTACAGGAAATTCATAGAGTTTCTACTTGTTAAACCAAAATTTCAGGACAAATACAGCCAGAGAGAATCCATTTTTAAATGTATGTATCCATTTTTAAATGTAAAGCAAAAATGGGCTGAGGAATGAGCAGGCTGAATGTAAAGACAGGTGGGTTTTTTCCTTTGGTTAAGCACCTCTTGTGTGTTAGCGGCAGTCATCAGCTGGGCTAAGCCTTTCTCTGAACGAGCTAGCAAGGTTTTGGCACATCAGTTATCTTCACAAACTTAGGAAGCCTGAAATATGTTGCTGTGTTCTTTATTTCTGGTTTTAATTTTTTTCTGTGTCCTACAGACTTCTGATACAGACAACGTGATCCTGATTTCAGAATGAGTGACTCAGGGAGCTAAACACCTGGAATTTCAGGCTGATAAACTAAGTGCGTTCATTATACTTCCCCAAACATTCTGAATCCATCGCTCTTGTTTCAGCCAATTTGGGTAATTCAAAGTTAGACAAAAGCTTTATGTACCTGATCCATGATCAAACTTCAGGTGGTGAAGTAGGAAATACATCAAGTGCACATCCGTGATCGTGGATCAGCCCACTTGCATGTCAGGGCTTGTTTGTGTACCATAGGACTGTTTTCAAGGGGTTGTCAGAGGAAGTGTCCAGGAGGACCAAAGACAGAGGTACACAGGCACCCAGTCGTCAGATAGAATCATTGGATCATGGAATGGTTTGGGTTGGAAGGGACCTTAAAGACCATCCAGCTC